AAATAACTTTTTCTCCCAGTGGCTGACTCACCACCCAAATGTTAATATCCTTCTGTGTTTATCACTTAAGAGTCTTTGAAGCCTATCTTCTAGAAACATACTGATTTAAGAGACAAAGTAGCCTGGATGCTTTGAAATGTAAAAGGTCTTACTGTCTTAACTATATAGCACATATATGCTAAGGCTGTATAGTATTAGTCCTTCTTACATAGGAACAAACAGTGGAACCAACAGTAGCATTTGTTGTATCCTGGGATGTAACAATTTATTGTATAGAAGTAAAGAACACACCAACTAATCAGGTAAGAAGAATAAAAAAAGACTACTGTGATTATAAAGAAATTAGATCTATGTCAATGGCTCACAATCAATCACTGTTCACAGCTGACAACTCCACCTCATCAGTAATATCTCATTATACATAGTGAAACTCAAAAGATTAACAGACTATGGAATTGTTTTGCCTGAACTAACCTCTGTTCTTAGATCCCTACCTTCTTAATGCTTCCCTGAAATAAAAATGGGAAACGTGAATAACAAAAACCTAGTTTCCTATAAAATATTCCAACAAACCTGAGTAGGATACCATTCTTATGGGACAATGTTCATCCTAAGATCAATTAGCATTCATATATATTCTCAATCCTATAGCAGATATCTATGAGTAATTTATTGGCATTACTTTACCTCTTCCATCCAATGATATCTACTTATATAAAAACCCTGGGTGGTGTAACATCATGACTGGTCTGGAGACCAAGCGGAAGGGAGTCAGTCCTGTAGGGGTTGTCTTGGAAACAGCTGCACCCTCCCCCAAGCTGTTTCCTGGAGCTGTTTCCAGTGTGGGCGGGGTTTGAGGCAGGAACCCGCCCTTGGAGTGTGGAGGCATATCTTTATAAAGTGTGCCGCGCCAGCACGGCCAAGGGTGAACCTGAGTGGGGGCGGCTGAAAGGCTTAGAAAAGACAGACAAGAGAATAAAAGCCGGGTCTTGGTGGGATGCTGCTTCTCTGAGAGACAGCGACCACGCCCACAGCCAAGTCTTTATTTTATAGCAGATGCCACCAGGCCAAGTAAGGGCGTGAGCAAGATGTTTACAACATTCTCCTGGGTTTCAATCCTACTCAACTACATGCACCTGAACTCTATCAAGCCTACATCACTCAGGCACGTGGGGCCACGTGTTTGGACCATAGGTTCAAGCTTACAACTATAGCTGTTGGCTATAATTGTGCTGGGAGGGCCCTGCCCTCCAAGCTGGGACTTGCACGTGGCAATGAGAGGACTGTGCCCTCTCACCAGTCCAAGGCTTGAACCTGTCCAAAACACTGTAGCGGCTCCCTACAATAAAGTTTTAATCTACTTATATAAAAACCCTGGGTGTAACATCACGGCCAGAAGCGCATCCTACCGGAAGGAAGTCAGTCCTGCAGCAGTCGTCTTGGAAATGGCTGCGCCCTCCCCCAGCTGTTTCCTGGAGGGTGAGGTTTCAGGCAGGAACCCGCCCTCGGAGCGGAGCATGGAAGTGAAATGATTTGTAATGGATCTATTATTGAAGCTAACTTTGGAAATACTGTACCTATAGATCAGTGGTTCTCAACCTTGGCTGCACATTAGAATCACCTGGGAATCTTTTTAAAATCCTGATTTCTGGGCCTCATCCTCCGGAAATTCTGTTTCTTTGTTACGAATGTTGTGGCCCCACCCCATAACAAAGAAACAATTTCCGGAGGATGAGGTCCAGGAATCAGGATTTTTAAAAGATTCCCAGGTGATTCTAATGTGCAGCCAAGGTTGAGAACCACTGTTATAGAGAAATTTTTTTGCGAATATTCGATTGAATTTTTTTCGAGAGCAAAGCATAGCGGT